ATGAGACTTCAATCCTTTTAACTTTAGGTCCTTAAGTGATATAAGACTTTTAATGTTTGATGAATATCCCTCTGGAACCTTGACTGAATAAAGAGTCTCACATAAAGCACGTTTCTCATTTCTAGACAGGGTACATGCTGTTGGAGGTAAAAATGTCCGCTTTCCCTTCTTCATTGGAGCCAAATCGGATCGTATTCCCAACTTCACCAAGTCAAGTCTTGCATTGATGTCATCTTTCTTCTTTCCCACGATGTTTAATAATGTACCAATCACACTTTCACAAACATTTTTTTCAACATGCATAACATCAACAAAATGTCTTACGTATAAAGATTTCCAATACGGTAACTGAAAGAAAATTGACATCTTCTTCCAACCTGCGGTTGGAATTTGTTTGGCAAAAGGTTTTCCAAATGTTGTTCTTATGTGTTTAATCTCATAAAAAATTTCTGATCTACTCTTCAAATAAGGACATCGTCGTATTTCGCAACTTTCATTAAAAGCTTTTTTCATTTTTCTAAAAAGATAATTTTTTGACAACCACCTACAATGCCCCATGAAAACATTTTTGTGACAATGGTCTAGTCTTATATAATCTATTTTTTCCTAACATATTGGACATGCACATTGACCTTTGATGTTGTAACCAGAAAGATTTTCATATGCAGGAAAGTTATTAATTGTTCCATACAACATTACCTTCACAGTGAAATTTTCATCTCTAAATCCGTCATATACTTCTATGCCATTATCCCACAACAACTTCAAATCTTCAATTAAAGGAGACAAGTATACATCAATGTCATTTCTAAGTTGTTTAGGACCAGAGATTAACAACGAAAGCATCATATATTTTCGCTTCATGCAAAGCCATGGAGGTAAGTTATACATTATTAAGATCACAGGCCATGTACTATGGGTGCTACTTTGCATGCCATGTGGATTCATTCCATTGGTTGCTAATGCAAAACGTATATTCCTTGTTTCAGTTGCAAACTCTTCATGGTCATCGTCAATTTTTTCCACTGCGGAGAATCTGCTGGATCCCTAAGCTTTCCATCTCTAATTCGGCCTTTAGCATGCCAAGTCATCTGCTTTGCATTATCAGCACTGCGAAAAAGACGTTTTAACCTCAGTATTAGTGGAAAATACCACACAACCTTTGCAGGTGTTGTGTTTTTCTTTAGGTATCGTGATACATTACACTTTGGACATCTCTTTAGTGATGCATACTCATTTCAGAACAAAATGCAGTCATTAGGACAATCCAATGGAAGCAAGTACTTGTTTAGCCTCATATGTTCTCTTCGGTAGAGCATTATCCTCCGGCAACATCTCATGTAATAAACTTAGCAGCTCTATGAAGCTCTTATCAGTCCATCCATTCGACGCTTTTAAGTTATAAAGCTTTAAAACAGAACTCAATCTTGTGAACTTTGTGCATCCATTATACAATGGTGTTTCTGCATCATCTTTCAGCCTCTCAAACATTTTTGGACAATCTCTATGATCTTCTTCAACAACATTTGGAATTTGTTCAGCATGATCACTCTTATTTATTCTAAATGTCTCTGAGTAATTGACACTTGATTCCATGTTAGTTGATGTATTTCCACCCTGTATCTCACCGTGTTTTGTCCAACAAGCATATTTTCATCTATCCCATTGCACATTAGATGTTCTTCCAATTCTTCCGCATTTACTTGTAACATATTCAAACAACACCAACAAGGACAGGGAATAAGGTTGACATCAGTTGCATTCTTAATCGCAAATCTAATAAACTCGTTGACTCTGTCTTCGTATTCTTCACTTAAACGATCAGCTACTATCTAACTTTGATCCATATTTGCTACAACTATGGTTACGATCATTATAAATGTGAATGTCTTATTAACTCTCACATGGTAGGGCCCTATCCCATTTGAGAACAAACTTTTTCCAACCATAGTTAACAAATGCTACTTAAATGTTGTATATTTTACTTGACAAAATTTGGGCAACATTTCGCATTAGTCTCTTAGTACACAGCTTGAAATATGAGATGATTTACCTCAATCAAGCATGCACCAAGAGACAATGAGAAATGTTTCAAACTTAAATTTTGTTAAGTATTAAATACAACATTATGAGAAGCAAATGCTAACAAATTAATAAATAAGTTTGTTCACAAACTGTCCAATTTGGACAATTTGAGATTCAAAATAATAATTTATTAAAACATTATTTTCAATCTCAAACGGAAAAACTATAGTTTCACTCAATTTTACAATAGTAAATCATAACCTACAAAGTTTCATCACTAACAATAATCATGCATTCATCACATTCTACAATACAACATCAAATTCATTCATATACAGAGGAAATATACATTTTGGGGGCAAAACAAACAAGAATATCAAAATTTTTAAATGCCTAATATCATAGGTTAACAAACACAACAACATGCTCTTCCATTATAACTAACCACCTGTGTCCCAATATCATGTTCAACAAATCCTAAAAAACAATTCCAACAACATTTTAGAGGTTAACAAACTAAGATTCAACCTGCCCATATCAACTTTTACAAAAAGTCAAGTCATTTCATGCTCATTTGTTCACGCGACAGCAATGATCAACATGTAAACAATATTTTGTTCATACAAATTATAAACACAACAACATGCACTAACATGGAATTAAGAAACAAGTGCAAATTTGTCGCAGTTCAGCAGGAGACCATAAATGGAGGAGACATTGTCACTGTTTAACGTCAAAAACAGAGATACGTATCAGTGAACAGAGAGAATGAGAGACTGCAAATGTCCAAAAATGGCCAGAAAACAAAGAAAAGATTATGAATATACCTTCAATGTGCGATTACGATGTCAGGTGTGCTTCTTCCTCTGCAAAAAAATTCTCAAAGAACACTGAAACACAGAGAATTTTGAAGTACAGGCTTGGCGAAGCGACAGGGATAACTCAGTTAGGGTTTTAAAAATACAACTTCAGCTGTTCATATTGAACCGCTCTCTAAAATAGATTTCTTAGAGTGGTTATTTTACAACCGCTCTAAGAAGTCTATTTTAGAGAACAGTTCCATATGAATCGCTCTCAAATGTCCATTTTAGAGAGCGATTCCATATGAATTGCTCTGAAATGTCAATATTAGAGAGCAGTTTCAGTTGAACCGCTCTAACATGAACTGCTCTTAGATGTCCATTTTAGAGAACGGTTCCATATAAATCGCTCTGAAATGTCAATATTAGAGAGCAGTTTCAGTTGAACTGCTCTCACAAGTTCATGTTAGAGAGCGGTTTCGTTTGAACCGTTGTCATAAGTACATATTAGACAATGGTTCTGTCGGAACCGCTCTCTTAGATTTATATACAAAGCGGTTATTACTAATCGCTATCTAATTTGGTGCTCGAAAAGCCAATTTCTAACTTAGTGATATTTTTGCACATTACACAAAAAAAAAATTATGACTGTAAAGAAATATGTAAAATTGTTTTATTGGTGTATTTTTGGCATAGTGACTAATGTGTTACTTAATCTTTTATATTTTAAATTTTCTAACATATTTTTATATAATTTTATAGCTGCTTTTTAATATTTTTTAGAAAAATCTATAAAAATAAAAATCAGTTTAGTAAAATACAAAATTCATAGTATATATATGTTAAATAGAAAAAGTAAAAATACATTAATATAATAATCAACTTCATAAAAATTTTGTTTATTTTGATAATATTTTATATAATTAAAAATTATTCACTGTAATGTTACATGGTCTTTTGTCATATATTTATATTTATCAGTTTATTTATGTTTTATTAAATTTTTATTGATTTCATTTATATGTTACGTTATTTTTTCTCTAATTTTTTTAACTTATTTCATTATAATTTTTATTTTTAAAATATTTTAGAAAAGGCTATAAAAAACACAATATAATAAAGTATAAAATTATTATTATATATAGTAAATAGGGAAAATAAACCTTAACTTAATACTCAACATAGAAAATTTGATATTTCATTTGATTAAAATAAAAGTTATTATGAATTTGAATATGAGAAAATAATAAAGATTATTTACCTTCAGGAAATTTTAATTTTTTTATTTGAGATTGATATTGTAAGAAAATTATTAGATTTGACATTTTTATATTTGATATTAATTTAATATTCTAAATATTTATGATATTAAATTCTTCAAACGTTGAAAGGTGTAAACCCAATTTTTATTTCTGATTATAACTTACTAAAATAATTTATTTAATATCATTTTAAAGACTTGTTTAATATTATAAATTTTCTTATACCCAAATTAATATGAATAAACATTTTAAAAACTAATTAGAAAAATTAAATTTAAATACTTAATTAATATTTTTTATATTTTATAATGTAATTTATTATAATTATCTGTTAAAATATAATTTAATTTAAACATTTTTAACAATATTATTATTTTTAAATTATCAATAATATTAAAATAAAAAGATTACATATTTTATAAATTTGTCCACCTTACAGGTACAAAATCTAATTTTAATATTATATAGTGCTCAAAATTATATTATATTATATTCTTAATTAAGATATGTTTGAGGGAGAAATGTTTAGACGAAAGAAAAAAAGATGACATATTTTTTAATTTTAAATTAAAAATTATATATAATTTATAGTAACAAATATATTAAATTTTTATTTTTATTTTAAAACAATAATTAATTTTAAATATATTTATTTAAAATATAAATTTTTTCTTCCTCACTTTCCCTATTTTAAAATTCCCTTTTTCAAACAACCGCTTGTTGGAGGGTACAAATGCAATGCAATTATTCTGTTTTTGGTTAAGAAATGCAATTTTCCAAACATATCTATTTGAGGCCATATTGGGCCCAATAGAAACCAGCTAATATGGGTTCTATATTGTTCGTGGATTTAGAAGAATCTCCGCCTGCCACGTAACAACTCAAACACCGCCTTAAAGGGAATCCTATTTATTTTCTTTCTAACCATCAATCAACCACACAAAAACAAAATGCTGAAAATCGCCGCAAGCGCAAAACGACTTGTGGGAACGGCGTCGTTTAAGTCGCCACCGTTGGGTGTTAGGGTTCTGCCGCGGCTCTACCACGAGAGGGTGGTTGACCACTACAACAACCCCCGCAACGTTGGATCCTTCGACAAGAACGACGAGGACATTGGAACGGGTCTTGTCGGGGCACCCGCATGTGGCGACGTTATGAAACTCCAAATTAAGGTCGATGAGAGCACTGGAAAAATCGTCGATGCTCGCTTTAAAACCTTCGGTTGTGGATCAGCCATCGCTTCTTCCTCCGTTGGTATGTTTTTTATTTATTGGTTTTGTTATGCTCCTTTAAGCATTTATAAATAATTTTTTTAAAAAAAATGGTACATAATTATTATATTGAAGTGAAGTTATAAAAATATAATAAATATTTTTTAATAAATTTTTATTATTATTAGCAGCGGATCTTAAGATAATAATACTTTTTATTTATTTATTTGTGAGAAGGAAGAGAGGAATGGGATGTGTAGGGTAACATCTAATAAGTAGAGTTTATGGACTTCGTGGTGTTTGAATTTTTAATTCTTTAATTTTTCTTAGTGCCCTTAAAAGTTTAAAGTTGTGGAGAATTAATTTTGATGAAATTGATCTTGAGCCGTCAAATCTGTGATTAGATACCTTCATAAATTAAGCTCAACCGCACTATTTCTTTTATTGAAACTTGTGTTTCTCATCAGAAAGTGCGAGAATTGGTTTTGTAACTTTAAAGCAAACAAATCCTAAATGTTTTCTTCTTTTCGTGGTTGCAATTCTGGAATTTTCTATTGTTGAGGAAACATTTGGTTATGAGGTCTGGCTGCATAAACTTGAAGATTTTGCAGAAGAAAAACGAAAATGGTTGATATTTTGTGGATATCTCATTAGCTCACACAATTGATGTTTCTAATATGTAGCATCTCTCTTTTCAGCTACTGAATGGGTTAAGGGGAAGCGAATGGAGGAAGTTTTATCCATTAAAAACACGTAAGTATTTCCCTCGGAATTCTTGAAAACATTTGTTGCAATCATGTGTTATATTCTAGCAATGGCTTGTGTGTTATGTGATTTGTTATCTTCTCCGGACCTTTAGTTCGCTGCACGGTAATTATTCACTTGGGAATTATGGATTTTAGCTGTAGGATGGATAAATTCTGTGTTTTAGGAAGCTTATTTTATTTTATTTTCCTCTGTGAAGCTGTGTCAAAATTTAGGCCCTGCTCTCTATATTTCGTCACCTTCAGTTTTGATGGCTGAAATTGTAGTAGTGTCAGATGAATTCCGTGGAAAAGTTGGGTTTTTGTCTGTTAAGTGGTTAATGTTGGTTGTTTTGATGGTTAATGTTGGAAAGATGTGTTGGTGTTCTTCCGCATATATACTATTGTTCTCATCATCTCTTTGGATGAGTATGAGCTGATAAGCTGAGGAATCAAATGCCTGCTTAAGAATATTTACATATTTTTATTTTGTTGTATACCTTCTGGTTGCTAGATAAATGCACCATCTCTAGGAGTTCTCTCTTGCTAGACTCTAGCTTTGGTTATGCTTCCATGATTAATCATTTTCATTTCGTATTAGTCGTCGAAGTGACTTATAATTAATCTCCTGCAGCGAAATTGCAAAGCATCTTTCACTTCCTCCAGTCAAGCTTCACTGCAGCATGCTTGCTGAGGATGCTATAAAAGCAGCTGTTAAAGATTATGAAGCTAAGCGTGCCACTGCAACTGCTGGTGATCAGGCAACAACAGCTTGATTTCCATTTCTAGAATGATGATGAAAACGACCGTCAGTGTGGAATTTTTTACGGCGTTAACGAGCTAATGTACATTGTTGGAACATCTTGAGGTCAGACTTCTCTTGGTTGGAGCTAGTCAACCTTATTAAATTATCATAATGTAAAGTAAATACCTGTGTTGCTGGCTGCAGTTTGTTATTATCTGCATGATTTATAGGATCAAATCATGTTTTTATTAAACGATGTAAACAATGCAATAAAGATACGATATTTACGGTTGGAAAACCACGGCTTCATCCAGCCTTACTGCAGATATTTACACAATTTTGTTTTGGATCTTGTGTTTGTATGTCATTCAACCTTGTACGCTTCTCTGACTGTGAAAATACGGATGCCACTGCAAAATGGGAAATGCATCCTTGACTTGAACAATTTAGACATTTGATGGTGTTTGAGCGTTGGGAGCTTATAAACAGGAATAAGAACATAATCGTATCAAGAACCTTGATGAAATTGTTTAGGGCTTAACACTACAACAAATGATCAATGCGACATCAGGATTGAAAAAATATCAATGTTTAAGAGTCCTTTATTCAACTAGCAGTAATTGGTTAAAACTTGTAAATTGTGGTATAAGCATACCATGATTAGCAGTAATAGACCCTTGATCCTATGGTTCTTGGTTGTTTGCAAAACCTTGTAAATTGGTTATATTAGCTGAAGTCTTGTAATCTTTTTCTGTGGTAGGTCTTTTCATTATCGACAACTTTTGTTGCTCCTGAGATTATGTATCATCTGAACAGAAAGTAGGAATGAAGGTTTTTTAAAAAAAATAAAAAATAGCTTTAAAAGTTGATACGGATGAAGATTGTGGTTGCAATAACAGGATTTTCGTTAAAGATCATATGTTGTGCGCTTTTACTGGAAGGAAGATAGATTTCTTTATTTATGCAGTGTTCTTCTAGTGTTTTCTATTGTATAGATGTTATTAGAGATCGTTCTGGCTAACGTTTGAGGGTTTTGTGATGGAGACTTCTGTGCTGAATAGTTTTTTTGCATATAACTGAAAGGAAAAATGACAAAAAAGAAAACACAAAATTTAGTAAAGAACAATCATAAGCTCATTTGCAAAAAAATTTAAAACTTTGTTATGTATATTTTGTTCGATTGAAAATCCTAAAGAATAAATTTCCTGCAAATAAAACATTACGCAGAAAAAAAAAAACAAACTTAGTTAATTGTAAAAGAATCTTTTTCATGCAAGAATTGCAAAGGATTCTCAGCAAAAATTGTGGAACAATTTCTTTGCTAGGAATATCGCACATGAACTATTTTTAATATTGATGATATTCTCCTGCTCCGCAGATCTTAGAAAAATAAAAATAAAAATGAGATATGCAATGGTGAACAGAAGGGACAAAAAAATGAAGGCGGCAAAAATAGAATGTCTCGTGTCTTTTAGTTAAAGTTGTGAAAAACTTTAGTAATATAAAAAAGGTTAAATTAATAAATTGGTCTATCAATTTTTAATTTTTTTAATTGAGTAATCTAATTTTTTTTAATTGAAATAATTTAACTTATAAAAATAATTCAAATCAGTTAGTCTAAAAAAAACAACTTTAACTCCTTTAATAAATTATTTATTTTCTTTTTTCTAGTGAACTTTTGTGAAAATACAATAAATTTTGATAAATTTATTATATCTCTTTCTTTTAAACTTTCTCTTCTTACAATCCACGAATTCATAACTTACTTTTTGTCTTCCTTTAAATTTTGACAAAGACCAAATATCAATATCCGTTACTCTTCATCTTCTTATACAACTTTAAGGGCCAATAAAAAATTTCAACAGAAAAAATAGAATATATTTATTAAAATTCAAAGAAGTATATGAATGAAGGATAAAAGGGAAAATTTTTGAAGAAATTTAAAGGAGGGGAAACAAATTGTATAGAAGCATAGATGATAATAGATAAGATGATAAGGAATAAAATGCAAAGGAAAAAGAGAAAATAAAATATTTTTGCCGAGGCTTAGAGTAGGAGAAAAATGGGTTGTGGAGATGTGGGAGAGACAAAAGGAGGAAGAAAAATAAAAAAGAAGATTTTTGTCAAAATTCTAAGGAAGAAGAGAGGAATAAGTCAAGGAAAGATTGATAATGGGTAAGATAACGAAGAGAGAAAAGAAAATGAAACAACTAAAAATTTGTCAAAAATATTATATTTGTACTAGAGTTCATGAGGAAGAAGAAGAAAAAAATAATTTTTTTTTAAATGGAGTTAGGGCTGTTTGTTTTCTCTTTTTAAATATAATTTTAGTTTTTATAATTTAAAATTTAAAAACTTGTTTGTTAATTTGATTTTTAAAAACTATTATTAATTTTTTTTTCAATTTTTAAAATTAAAATCCAGAATAGTTTTCATGGTGTTTTTATTTTTAAATTTTGATTTCTCACCCTAAAACTTTCAAGACGAGGAAAATTCAATTTTCATTAATGGCACTTTTGTAAATTAAGTAAAAAAAAAGGCAAATAAATGTTGAGTTAGGACTCATGGCATCCTCACTCTCACAACATCCTCACGACTCTTAAACTATCATTCTTACAATATCATAGACATCTCTGAGCTCTTAAACTATCACCCTCACAACACTATCAATCCTCTCATGAGAATAATGAAGGAAGAACGAAGCATGGCATAAATTTAATAAGAATTTAGGTTTTTTCTTTTCTCATCTTAGATGTTATTTTTTATTTATAATTGGTCAAAATGTTCGTCCATAGAGTTATAGAACGCTCTCAGCACTCCACATAAATAGTTTTCCGTTATTTTAAGCAAGTATTAAAAGCATGTTTATTAAAAAACAAAAGCTGATAAGATAAGAATTTACATAATTGCCTAGCAAGTTTAGAAATGAGTCAATATTATTCTTTATTCAATGTATGTATGTAATACTTATTCATTATTTTAATTAGTTCTTTTTTTATTTTTTTATTTTATCTTGTTTTAATTTTTTATTTTGGATTATTGTTATAGAACTGCGTAAGTGCAATTGATAGTACTCATATGAGTGCATAGGTTCCTATTAGAAAATAAATTGCATGTAGAGATAAAAAGACAGTTATTACACAAATTGTTATGTGCTTGTGGTTTTAATATGATGTCTACATTTGTGTAGTCAAGATGGCAAGGAAGTGCACATGATTCAAAGGTGTTTTGGAAGCACTTATCAACCCAAATACAAATTTTCTATAGCCGTCCAAAGGTTAGTACTTATATTATAACTTAGTTATTTTTAATTGATAAAAAATATTTATAAATACATATTTTATGTGATGTATGTAAGTCTATCCTATCTTATTGATTGTGACTATCTATGTACAAGAGATTTTCTTCTTCCTTATATGGGGAATATAATATAACATCCTTATTATAATTTAAATAATAGCTCTTGACTATATATATATATATAGGATTTAAGTGAAAATTTTACAAGTTCTGAATGATTTTAAAAACTTTGTCTGTATAAAATTCTCATAAATTGATAAAACAACATATATACTGAGCTGGTGATACAAACAAAATAATTTTTAGTAAAATAAATTTCTAGCTAACATTGATATAAGTTAAAAGTTTAAAAAATTATATATTAATTATTACACATAATCCTTGAATCGTCGTTTACAATAAGTTAATCAAAATACTTCAAAATTCTACTTAGAAACTAATCAATATAATTACATTATTCAAAATAGCCAGTTCTAACAGAGTAGTTCCTTTCTTACCATCCCTTGCGAATATAATCCTAGAAAGGGTTGATCTTCTTTACTAAAAATATTTGTAAGAGTGAGTATCATTTGCCCCAGTAAAATTTTTATTTTAAGAATAATCAAAATAATGCAAAAAATAGTTTATGATACAACATGTAACAAAATAGCGCTATTCTATTCTTAACAAAATCAACTAAACAAAATTGCTCATATACATCTTCCATCTTTTACTCACACACATTCCATTTCTTATTAATCAACCCAATCAAATTCAATGCTTGAACTCATATCACTTTACTTATTTATACAATTTTAACCAAACAAAAGTTATCCAAACCATAATTCCATGCCACTTTATCTATTTCAAATTTGAATATGTAACGCCCTTAATTTTGGTAATATTAATTATTATTATTATTATTCGTGTATATATATATATATATATATATATATATATATATTCATATGTGTGTTGATTTATTTGAAAATGATGTTTTATGTATATTAATTACATGGATATGTGTATGTATGACTGTTGGGCTGAAATGGGCTAAGTGCCTAAGTACAGGGCGAGATATTAGGCTGTTCTAAGGAAGGACCAAAATTGTCGCCTTTTCGCTGTAGCGACAAAGCAACAATTTAGGGTGCATTTCTGGGTGTAGTCTTGCTGTAGCGAGAGGGTCTCGTTGTAGAGAGATTCTGCAGAAACCAGAGTGCAGTTTTCTCTGATTTTTTTGCTGTAGCGAAAGGGCGTGTCGCTGCAGTAAGGAGACCTCGCTGCAGCGAGAATATCTCGCTGTAGCGAGAGTGTCGCGACTAGAAAAGGATTTAAAGAGAACTAGGGTTTGGGGAGAGTAATTTCTCCCTCTCCCTTCAAAATCCCTTCGATTCTCTCACTCTCAAACCCTATTCCACCGATTAATTGCCTCCAAAGTCGTTCAGGAGCGAGATTGTAGCTTAAATTTGTGTGGAGAACGCTTGGAGGTGAGTTTTAATGATTAGGATTTTCGTTTTTCCTTCCCTTTCTCTATTCTTGGTAATTTTTGGGGTTCTCATGGAATTCTTCTATGTGTTTAGGCCGAAAGCCATGTGGGGAGCATTTCCGTGGTTGAGTTCCGACGTGGGTCTTCAATTCAAGGTAAGGGGGGACTTTACCCTACTCCTTTATGTGTGATTTGCTGATATTTTGTGTGATATTGTGATGTGGCTGAGTAGAGGGTAAGAAATTGCTGAGATATGTGGTGTGAGCACTTGTGCCGTTTATACATGTTTGTATATCTGAATGAACATTGTGAAAATGTGGGCCCGAGGGCTGTGTAATATGAATAGAAATAGGCTAGGGGCCGTGTGTCTTGAATGAATTGTGGGCTATGTACTGTGAAAATGAAATGTGGGCCTAGTGCCGTGTACTGTTAAATGTGGGCTATGTGTCGTATATTGAAATGTGTGTGATTGGGGCGTATAATGTCTTTGTAATGTGCTGTGAATGGTTCAACGATACACTAGGGGTGTGGGAGATGAGGACGGTAGAAATACCTCGGGAAAGAGGGAGTGGTGGTGACATTGACTGTGGAACGAGTACACCACGGGCCACACACTCTCTTCCTGACTAGACATCTGACCATTACCTTTGCTGAGTGACCTGTGACTGCCCACGTGGTATCCGTGAGGCGGAGGTAACCGGCGACCATTCATAGTGTAAATTTGTGATCACAGTGTCAATGTGAGTGTGGCTGGCGTGAGTATGCATGAGTTCATGAATTGTGCTTATAGATGTGATAATGCTGCATGTGCTTGTATTTGTTTAATGTATTGGAAATGTGCTGAAGGTGATACTCTATGCGTAATTGTATGTTTTGGTAGTGTAGAGTACTCACCCTTACATTTATTTTTCAGGTAATCAAGACGATCAACACCGGACTCAGTGAAAAGGGTAGATGAAACTGCTATAGGACTAGGATTTTAATTTGAAACTAATGTATTTGAATGGGTCATGTAGTAGTGATTTAATAGGAATTGTAACCCCTTTCCTTATTTTAAAATATTTGATGAAACCAAGGGTTGAGAACCTTATTTGAAATGAAATTTATTTTATTCTGAATTTGTAAAATTATGATTTATTGAAATTAAA